ATAATATCTAGTGTAATACAAGACGTTGCGTAAGGAACCGAACAGAGTGCAAGCGGTGAAAGATAGAGCTAGGGCCCGTGCGCGGCGCTCAGGCCTTAGCTGGCCAATTAAAGATTTCGGTGGACTGGCGAGCCACCCGAAATCTGTGCGTTCAGGTGTTAGGGGAACCACGGTGGTTACCGTAACACAAGAGCTATGCTGAAAAGAGTAAATGAGGCTCATCTTACCGCGCAGCTGCATGGCTGCGACTAGTACAGTGAGGAGTGGGGATTATCAAGAAGATCATAAGGAATGTGAGTACTTCGTGGCCTCCAGTGTCATTAAGACTGGCAAAGGTGACATTTACATCAACAGATAAATAGTATCTCGCTTTATAGTAAGCAGACCTGCCTCTAATATAAACTATGAATTAATCAAGGAATGTATGTACGACGCCACCGCATGCAGAGAAGGAACGCTATGCTATGCAATATCTAACCTGAATCCTGTAAATACACATTATCGTATTTTTTCTCGTGATCCACCCTCTCCAATTATCATCGTTGTAATAGAGCGCGGTGCTTATAACCCGCAGTTACTGTAGCGACCTGAGCGTACTGGGTCGTCCCGATACGTCCAGAGCCGCAGCCTGGCCGTTGTAAGCTCGTCCTGGCTGCCTTGGGCGAGGTTGAAGCCTTGAGCAGCATGGTCGACGGCGAGAACGTAGATGGTCTTTCCGTTGTAGGTAACGCCTAGCATGTTCCACACTAGTATGTATTGTTAGGCGATGAAGATGAGGAAACGTAGTAAGTGACGTACCTGTGGGCTGTTCCATCCAGCAACACCCATATATCCACCGATTTTGGGGAAACCGGCAACGTTGGCGCTTGAGTTTGCCAGTTGTACTTTGTGATGAGACCGTTGAGGCCGTCCGAGCAGGCGAGCGAGGTCAAGGCGCGGCTGCCGTCATCATAGCCAGTATCGTAGTGACAGTAATGGCCGAAGCAAGGCTGGCAAACCAAGGATTGCCGCTGAGATGGCACTGGAGAACTGCATGATTGTTGGTAGATGGGTAGAGGCTTGGAGGAAATGAAGGTTTAGAAGTCGGAAGGCTGGTTACTGATGATGCGTGTCTTGCAGTTGCGAGTACATTGCCATTTATACCATCCGCCATCACGAAGCCTCCACTCTACAATCCGAGGCTTCCACCTAACCAATATGAGGCGACGGATTATGCACAATCCGCGCTCGATTAGGTATCGCGTTAGGGTTCGCTAACCAAGAAAGGAAATCTAGAGGGCATAATCCGTGCGCATAATCCGCGGGCTTTACTAGTATCGCAACGTGCTGCAACTTACCCAAAAGATACAAGACAACGCTCCAAATCTATTCCATCTTTCAGAATACCTGCAGCTAGCACTGTTGTTGAGATATTTATGCGTGAACTTTGGCTGGAGAGACTTGACGTTCCTCGCTGAAGTCGGAGCTTGTAACCTCCGACTACAGGCCTGTGCGCGAAGTCAGGAAGTTCAAGACTTGAGCCATACTACTGTAGGTACGTTCGTAGATTAGATAACAGCAAGATAGAGGGACTTCTTACGCTTGTAAGAATATGAAGAATGCGATCTAGATAGCGATTGTGGTCTGCAAGTAGGCACAGAGGAACGAAACTGGTGCGCGGCAAGTCCCGCGAGCCTTTACGTGCGGATCTGGTAGATCCAGAAGTTAAGGTAGTAGCTAATAAGAACGTTAGACTGTACGTTACCTCGCGATAGGTAAAAGATGCGTCTTCTTCTATAGCCTTCCAAGTTAGAGTTATAATAGTAGAGCTATAGCACGTCGACGTTGGAACAATAGTACTGTCACGATGTTCAGGCCGGTCGACACAAAAGAGGTAGGAAAGAAAGAGGTAGAATTGGATCTCAAAGTCATGCTATCTACCGCAAGGTACTGCTACCTGTAAGTCCTCAAAGCCCCTACTCCGCCTCCGCCTGAAGCTCTTGAACAAGGGAATCATACACAAAACGCCAGCGCGGAACCAGGCCCTCGCACTCGCCCGCGATGTATCCATCCCACTCATTAACCTGCTCAAGACTAGAAAGACACTGAACTACGCCACCACTACTGACAGCTTGGAACAAGATAAATGCGCGTTGAGGGCGATCACAGAGGACCTTGTTGCCGTAGGCGCGATGGATGTGGGCCCAGATGCGATCGCCATTCTCTGACTTGCCAACGAGCATGCCTTCCTTGTTGTTGTAGACGATAGGGTAGGTGCGCGCGGGATTAGCGAAGACGAACTTGCCGGGGGTGCGGTCGTAGTCGTTGGGAAGCGTGGTGTTGGGCAGCAAAGGGAGGGAGCGGAGTTCAGCGGGAGTTGGCAGCTCGATAGCGTCCTAGAGACAAGGTCAGCTTGTTGCGTGTTGGTGAAGTAGCGATGTGAAGGTACATACACTGAGGCCAACCTTGCTGATCAGCTCATAGTGTAGGCCTTGGACACCGTCGGTAGATAGGTGTTCGGAGGTCAAGGCGTTGGAGAGGTATGCCATGGTAAGAGAAGTGTGTTGGAATTGTGTTGATGTAGAGAAGTTGTGAAGTTGCAACGAAGGAGCAGCGGAAAGGCGCCAATATATACCCAGGGAAGCACGAGCCACTTGAATGAGAAGAATGGTAAAGTGGAACAATCTGCGGTGAAGGCAGCAGCTACTCCGAGCGTTGGACTGAGCAAGATATCTGCAGTGAAGTCGAAATGACCGCAGCGACGTCGCGCGGCAAGTCCCGCAGAACTTCACATGCGGATCTGGCTAATTAGGGGTGTGAAGGCGGCAGCCAATCGCAGCGCCAGGATGCTGGAGATGTCCGCGACGAAGGTGAGTTGATTGTCGCGGTGATGCTGCGTTGACTGTCGAGGTGAAGTCGCGCAGACGCAGGCCTTCACATGCGGATCTGGCCGATCCAGATGTGAAGGCGGCAGCCAATGGGAGCGCCAGGTCGCTGGAGATGTTTGCGGCGAAGGCGAGCTTATTATCGCCTTGACGCTGGGCTGGGTGCTGTCAAGGTGGGCCGATTGTTGAGGTGACGCGGGGTCGATTGTCGCCGTGAAGAGGAGTTGCTTGTCGAGGTGAAGTCGCGCGGCCGCCAGCCTTCACGTGCGGATCTGGCAGATCCAGATGTGAAGGCGGCAGCCAATCGGAGCGCTAGGATGCGGGGCATCCCCGTGGTGAAGGGGACTTGATCGCTGTGACGCTGAGCTCGTTGTCGCTGTGAAGGTGGGTTGATTGTCGAGGTGAAGTCGCGCGGCAAGTCCCGCCAGCCTCCACGTGTGGATCTGGCAGATCCAGATGTGAAGGCGGCAGCCAATCGGAGCGCCAAGCTGTTGGAGTTATCCGCAGCTAAGGCGAGTGGATTGTCGCTGTGATGCTGCGTTGACTGTCGAGGTGAAGGCAGCAGTCAATCCGGGCGTCAGACGTGTGAAGATATCCATAGTGAAGGGGGCGGTGATGGAACAACCCACGGTGAAGGCCACACGTGCGATTATCGACGAGGGGATAGTACGTATTTAAAGCTAGACGTCCTTTGTTACCTTGGCTCTTTCTTCCTCCAACTACCAGAGAATTGGTCAGCCACTACACACTTTTCGACCACTCTTTCCAAGTACCATGTCCGCCTCCACGTCCCTCCCCAGCGACGATCAGATCAAGGCGTTCTTCGCGAACGACTCGTCTCTCGATCGATTTGTCAAGTTCTGTAAGCATTACCTCACGCGCTATATCTACAACAGCTAACAAGGCATGAAGTGGAGACCTACCTCTTTAGTGTCCGCATCACTCCCCGCGCCTGCGCCATCATCTTCGAGGCCGCCAACTGCATCAACCCGTCTACGTTTCCGAGCCCAGCCTCCGAGTTCTTCGCCTGCGAGACAATCGAGTCCTACCTTACCGACCCTGTCCGCACTAACGCCAATCTCATCCACACTTCTCAACCTGACCTGCCGACATTCAGGTGGCTTCTTACCCAGTACAACCCAGCCCAAAGCAGCGGGATCAACTTCGAGGCGCTTACGGCTGTGTTGGCAACCGCAAGCCGCACAAGCTACCCTCCTGGTGACGGTGCGGTATGCGACGGCTGTCTTCGGAGTAGCGCGCGACTTATAGATGAGTGTCGGAATATCGGCGCTGAGAATCTGCTCGAGGGCCTAGGTCTTGGTGCTCCAACCTGTACAAACTGCTTCGCTGCTGGTGTGGCATGCGAGTGGCAAAAGGCAGATGAGGAGGCTGCTTCTGAGGGATGCTAGGAGTTGGAGGGAAAGAGAGCTACGAAGAAGACACTTGTTGAGTTGGGGTGGACAAGAGATGGTACTTAGTTGATTACAATTCTATCCACTTGCCACTCTTTCCATTTGCATCGTACTTCACGGTAATAGGTCCTCATCGCAACGAGCAGGTTCGACGTAGTCTTTCGTTCTGCAGCATCCGAGCTCTGGTAGAGTCAGCTGGCGCTTGTCCTTGGCTGCCACTGCCAAATCGACCTTCTCGACGTCTTCCAACTCGTCGCTCTCATTGCTCTCCTCGTCCGAGTCGGGAATCGCACAGATGCGCAAGGCTTGACTCGCCTCTATGCCAGATCGCTCTGCGCATGGAATCGGGCCGCCGCTAAGACCACCAGGACCTAACCAGGCATCGAACTCGCGGCCGAGCTGCACTGCAGGCGCATTGACACGCTGCACAAGTTGTAGCCATACTGTCCACTCCGCGACTCGCAGCGTCTGCTCCACCCAACAGGATGTTACTGTATCCGCCGGCATAAGCAAGAGACAGCCCCAACCCAGCACCTGAGCGGCTTCGTACCATCGACGAGATCGCTTCAGCCGGTTGTTGTACGCCACCCACGTACCAGAAGGTTGTTCTTGTTCCCAGAGGATCCGCTTGGCTTGGGCACGCACATGGCCCTCTCCCTCCCGCCGGCTTTTACCCCGGCCCTTTCGAAGATCCGCTTTCTCCAGCATGTCCACCGTCTGCTGGTATCTCTGACCAATGCTAGCCAAACCCCATCGAACAACAATGGCCGCGGTGGACTTTACGTTTTCGGCCTGCGTTACTGCGTCCCAGATGAGGTTGAAGGGAGACCTTGTCTGACCTGCTGTATTTGATGGCAAGGCAATACAAACCGGTTAACCTAATTGTCGCCAGTTCTGCATAAACTGCGTCGCATCGCGTCTTGCCGTAGGGCTGCCAAGCTGCCGGGCATTGCGAAGCATTGTCGTGGCGGTGACGTAGAGAAGCCGCGCAGTATAAAAGAAGTCGAGCTGGCCTATCCTCTACCCCAGGATCCAGGCGATATCAGGCACGTCACTGTCGCTTATTGCACGATGCGCTAGCTGCTCGGCAGCAGCAGCATTTGGTTTCGGAGCAACAAGCCCGCGTTCTTCTCTCCGCTTGGCTGCAACGGCTGCCTGTTTCTTCTCGCGTGCTACCTCTGCTTTGCGATTGTTGTTAGAGACGCGCGTGGTATAAAGAGGGGGTGTAGCGTCATCTTCCCCATCGTCATGAGCACCCTCCTCCTCGGCCCTATGGTCATGAGCAACTTCTTCTTCGTCTTCCGTCTCGTCTGCATCCTGCCCAGCACTATAGCTTCTCCTCCGTCTGCCTCGCCTCTGGTGATGGCCTGCAACAGGGTCCTCCTCGCTCTCGCTGGCAGAGGCGAGGCATGTGCGCTTTGGAGAGGGTTCGGGGGCTCCTGCCCAAGCTGCCGTACGTTTCTGCACCGACGGAGGGGAATGTAGGCTTACTCCAGAACTCTCCAAGACTCTTGCTGCGCTAAAAAGTCGGTGCCAGG